GCTGAGGCGGTCTCCCGCTGGTGGGAGACACCTGGTTGGAGAAAACCTCGTTAGCCGACAGTAGGCCGGCGATGAATCTCGCCATAGAGCGGGGAAAGATCACCGCCACCTCCCAAGCAAAATCATGCATTAGTACGTACGTATACGGGAGAGTAAAAACGAACCTGTGGCAAAGGATTTTGCATCGAAAACGGTAAAGGAATTGGTAGAGTCATTATATACTGGTGGTTATAACTTTCCAACAGATAACTTCTTTCAGTTTCAAAGAGTTTCTAGTGATAACGTTTTACGTTCGAATTCCTGCGTAAATTTCTAATGGGGGATGAAACTAACATTACACGCAGGAAATACCATCTGAACCGTGAAATTATAACGGTAGGTAATTTTGTTATAAACTTTTTGGACACCATGGACATCTTTGGTTGTATCATGAAAGCCAAAACAACAAAAGTAATTATCTTCTTAGCACAATACATCAGGACCAAGACAAAAAAGGAACCTTGCTTTGAATGCTTTTGCTGCTTTGCTTGCGTACGTAATCTTCACAAAAATGATTCAAGACTAATATCAAAGGGAAAGGAGTATTTGCAACTGGCTGAAGAATTTTCTCATATTAATATGAAAACAAAAGTGAGAAATTCCAATATTATCAAACCCAAAATTATCTTCATGTCTTCGGGATACACAGATACACTAATTCTATAGAAAATGTACAAAGAAAATAAAGAGGTAAGGAGAATATTTACAAATGTAAATATAGTGATAAAATTATTATAAATTCTTTCTCTTGAGGTTATTTTCTTACCAAGTGCTATTTATGACTTCGAAAAATGACAAAAAGCAAAATCACAGTGCTTCGTCGGTGAAAGCAAACTTTTACTGCACTTTTAAAAAATAAATCAGTATTCTGTGCTACAGTAGCAAATAAAATGTGTGAAATTCCTTATTATGAATTTAAGGTTTAAAATACAAGTGAATTTAATAATAAAAATCATTGCATTCATTATTTCTTCATTACGACCTCATAATTAGTGTTTTATTGAAACGGGGCCTCTCAGGCCCACGAAGTGGAAAGTCGCAAGATCCGACCTCCGCGTATCGAAGGGTTAAGTGCGGGAAACCTACTCGTAGTCCACTTTCATCCATCAACTTCTCAAAATTGTTCATTAATCCGAGTTTAGTGTCCAAGGGAGGAAGATATGCGTGTGCAGCATTACCAGGTGTTGCAGAGTTACATTTTTGTTCGGGAATCAGATACCGTTGAGGCTTGTGTTTCTTCGCAAAATGATTTTTGCGATCTCCGCTATCACACTCGCATAGAAGACAACAAAATTTAGAATATCCTTGATGGAGACCAAAGAAAAATGCGAAAACTTTTAAATCGCTTATATATATATATATATATATATATATATATATATATATATATTCCATGGGGAAATACTGGCTGGTATTGGTATCGTCAATAACACAAATTTCATGATACCATACGTATCTTTCATATGGGCTGCATAGGCAAGTGGAATAGCTTGTTTCTCATTTCCGATATGAATAAGTCCGGCTTTTAAACTGAAGTAAGAGGTATCTATAAACAACCTTCGTTTCGTAAGATCATCATGGTCTTCCAAAGCATTTAGTAATGCATCAACATCAATACAATGACCTTTTGAGAATAGGCATCGGAGATCTAACACCGTCGACAATACACAATAATTTTAGTTCCCTCCTGAAGGAGGTTCCAACTCTTTAATCTAGACGCCAATAGTTCTGCCCGATTCTTTCGCAAGTTTAAATCACGAGCTAGATATTTTGTTCTGTTTGATTCTATGACATTCTGTAGATATTACACAGAAATCTGAGTCTTCAATGTTGTTCTTTTCGGTACTTACGTTTATATCTACATCACCAGAGTTTTCGGAATGCAAACTCTAATTGTCCGGTGGCGCTGGGATTGGAAGGTCGTCGCTGTGAGGAAGCTGACAGCTAAAATGAGTTTGCGATGTTAAATGGTCATCTTGGTTTCATTTGTGGTTCCAGCAACTTATTGAATGGTCTTTTTGGTCTTAGTTGTAGTTCCAGCAACTTTGGTAATGCAGAAATAAGAGTCTGTGAGTTGGTCCTTTGGTTCCCTCCATGCTATGGGGATTGAAAATGGCATATGTCGCGAATTTCCGTTAAGACAACCACTAAGTAATGTAACATATGACGCACAGCAACTATGAGGGGTCCATGATTTGTCTTGATGACCGATTTGACACCCGACATATAATTTAATGCCATTCATCTTAAGGGAATCCACCTTTGGCTTTTCAAAGTTACCTCACCACACACACATAACAGAAATTCTTTGGATGATTTACTCACTGCCCAGGTATTGTTGGGAATCTGTTTGTACAAAAATTAACCTTAGAAGCAACGAATAGATGAGTCGCGCACTACAGAAATATCAATAGCTTTCTCGCCCGACATGCAGAGCACACTAACATGTAGTGATCCACGTACACAACGCACCTAGTGCTTAGTTCACGTGGGTCATTGCAATTCCCTCCGCAATACCCGAAGTTGCTCATCTGATTTGACTGGTCTGGAATCAATTCGTCTTGAGTAAAATCTACAATATACATTGTTGGTGACTACTGTCTTGTAATAAACATTCAAGCAACTAGCGTTTCACTATAAACGACACGTGGTTATCTGCGAAATATAAATAGTTTTAGTGTATGTGCGATTACACGAAAACCGAGCCCGATGGGCAATTTTTGTAGATGTATTCGGCTTTGGCGCAGCAATAAGACACAGATAGGGAAAGCCATTTAACAGAATCACTGTCGACCAGTGTAATTAAATCTAATTTTGCAATAAATTATTTTAAAAAATTGGTGGGGTTAAACACATAAAACGCATTTTAGAGAATTTTAAAGCCACCTACAGATGCAAAAAATTCGACTATTCCCGTTTCCCTTGTTGGGTCAGCGACATTAACTCATAATCATCAGAGAGATGCGAAAGAGACTGAAAGCTTATTTAATCGCTAGATGGACCATCTCTGAGAAATTCGCTTTTCTCCTTCCATGCGTTCGACTCGCACAAACTTCATTGCTGCGAGAGAGGGTGGAGCAAGTAGCGGTAGTGGGTGCTTCAAACGTTATTTCCGTCGCAACGAAATGAGCTTCAACGAACGGGAGGATCTGTTCCAGTTTGTGAACAAAAGGTGTCTTACCGTTAAAATCGTACAATTTTGTCATCGTTACACACCTAATAGACAGGCGGTCCCACAAATGAAAGCTATCGGTGGTAGAAAAAGACACTTGAAAAAGGCTTTAGAAAAAGTAACTAAAATAACCTATTTTCTTACAAATCAAAAGAAAAACCGGTCCTCGTTGATATAGGAAACGATCGGAACTCTTAACAATAAAAAAATATCAGGTTTCTTAAAAAAATGCATGTCATTGAGAGGAACTTTTGGGACAACTTATCAGGAGGAACCCTTTAAAGCAGTTTTTGAGAATCTTTTTTCGAAATTGCAAAACCCTTAGACACAAATTACGGGAAATCTATGGCTGTTTTTTAAAACAGCTGGTTCGTTCAGAGACTTTGTCTAAGGGAAAATTCTCTAATAGCAATTTTGTACCTCCGAAATGTTCACTTTTTAACAGGGTTTGCTGAAAATGGTATTAGCACCCTACTTTTACAATCCCTTAATACATTAGAAAAAAAAATTGGAGCGGTTTTTAAGAAAGAAACTTAAATAAATAAATTCCTTATATTTCGTCCAAAATTTCATGAAAACTACTTATATTTTCGAAAAATTGAACCTGACCTTATTTCAAGATGTATATAAAGAACATATTTCATTGAGGAAGAAAATCTCCCTCTCCAATATCGTATTGTAGCAAGACGCAAAAACCTGCGCATTTGCGATTTTCGAAAAATGAGGGATTTCAACGAACATGAGGCCTGCACCATTCTCTTAAGCGTCATTTACGAGATCCCAGAACAATGTTTAATAAAAAATTTTGGGTGCCATTTTTGAGAGAATTTTGAAAAAAGTTGCTGGTGCTTCATTGCAAGTACCCTCAAAAATCAAAAGATTCATCTGAAGCTCCCGAATTCTCAAGTTCGTTGAGATCGATCGGGGAATATCAATTTTGGAGAAAATCAGCTGAACGGTTTAGGCGCTAGCGACGGCCACGACGGACGTGATCAATCGATTTTTTCAGAATCAAGGACTCACTAAACAAGGATTGTGGCTACACCACGTGCTAGAGGAAGTAATTTACAATATAGAGAGGCAGGATTTTCCACTTTTCGATACCAGGGTCCGGCAATAAGTTTTTTCTGCCGAAAATTCACTGTATTCCAGCGCACTATTACGTAACTTTCTCTTCTTACGAAGTTCGAAAAGTTTCTTAAAAAGTGAAAGTCACATCTAAAATGTTTGTTAATTCGTTTAGCATCAACTTCTGGGTAGAAAATCAAATTTAGTTTTTTTCCTGTTCCTAAGCTAAAATCAGGGTTAAATATGGAGTGAATTGTATTACGGGCATTCCACAAGGCCTTTGTTGATGCTCTTTCCTTATCGTGGGAATACTCTGAAGAGGGTCACGACTCACCTCCTGTATTTCTTTCGCCTGCATTTTGCCATCCAACAGTCTGGTTTTTCCATCTTCCATTGTATTTCACCATAAATTTTAACAAATGCTTAGGGCTAATTCGATTTTATTACTGTCCTAGAATATGGCAATCCGATGTTATTTTCTTTTGAGTTCTAGATGCTGTACGTTTGTCATTAATGGTTTTCAAAAATTAGAAAAATTTAATTTGTATTACATATTTCCCATCAGTAAAAGACTACTAATTACAACATATGGTTCAACATGCATATGCAACATGCACATTTTCTGCAAAAATCGAATGCATTGTGCACAAAACCAGGCATTTGGGCGCAAACGAATTGAAGTTCTACCTCAAAATTATTATTGGGAATGGAAACTCCAAAATAAAAGTTCATTGTAATTCTAGAAATGCCATGTGTACATGATAACAGTTCTTTCATGTGTAGGCCTAATTATGCCATTGTTTATGTATCATTACAAGTAATAATTCAGTGTTTTCCCGTAATACATTAAGTTCTGGATTAGAAGCTGGAAGTAATATTTCGGTCCTAATGTTCACACCTAGAATCATTTTTGTCAACACACAAACTGATCTCACACCTGAAGGATTCCAGGGAAACTTGGGACAAAAAAAGTCATCAATGGTTGCTTCTTGCCTCCTTATATACTTTTTTTATGACCCATGGGGCTATTTCCGCTATTTCCGTTTTCTTTTGACTCCACACTCTCATTCACTAAAAGAAAGGAAATTAACATTATCCATACGCCTTTTTACTGAAGAGCCAAAATGGTAGATTGAAATTTAGTATATGTTCAAAATTATATCTCCCAATGTACATGTCTAGAATGTGGACACAACAAAGGCACCAAGAGAAAATCACGTCATACAAGTCTTTTCCAGCATACAGTATTGTATGTATTGCAATCTGAAGTACACCAGAGACAAAACACATAGCACCAAAAACACCATACAACTTTAAATTCATTAAGGCATATACATGCATGCATAATACATGCAATGCCTTTACAAACAAATTCTTGCACAATAACAGCGCATGAACTTCATAGCTTAAATTGCAGATTATTTTGATCATCCCAAAGAGAAATGTTAAAAGTGAAAAAAACAAAGAACTGCATGTATGCAGACTCCAAATGAGCATTAATGTTATAAGAAATATTTCATTAAAATTTCCTCTCGGATTTTTTACCATTAACACAACCTTTTTTAAATCTTTTTTACCTTTTTTTATCTTTCTAAGAGTGGACAAAACATATTTTTAAACAGGTCGTTCAAAAAAACTCTTAATTCATAGGAACAATAAAAACTGAACTAATTGTCATGAATTCTATGAAAATATTTTATTATCATATCTAAAATGTAATAGATAAATTTTAATATTGATAAAGATAAAAAAATACAAAATTACATGGACACATCCCGTCTAGTATCCAGTGTTTTTCTTTACTTCTGTCTCAATTACCATGTTTAGCACTTCCCTAAAACAATGAATGAATCTACATAAAAACTACCATACATCTGATTTCAATAAAAAATTCTTTAACATCTTCCTTTTTAACAACATATATATCTAAAATAGGAAAATTGTTAATTATGCACTAACTGCTACAGATGCTTATGGGACATAAATAAAGTGTAATTAACAATTTTGTTTTGAAGCAATGGTTTGGTAGTAATTAAAATAAAATTAATTCTGCATGAAAGCCCTGAATGAGCAAGGATCAGCCTTTGAGGAAACACACATATTATTTCTTTTATGTCTTGTTTTTTATTCTATAATCACCCAAGCAAAAAATTCATTATAACAATTTCTCCTTGTTAAGACATGCAGTCTTCAAACAGTTTACAGACTTCTCTAATGCACCTAATGATGTTCCTAGATCAGTGGCAAAGAGCAGGGCCATATTTATATCTTGAGAAGCCAAGAACACAATCAAACTACAAAGGGCCCCTTCTAGTATTGAAATATCAATTACATGACAATTGATAAAGTTGTTCATAAAATTTCATCAATATTGGAATTATGAAATATTTTAATGAATTCATCTGCCTGACTGACTAAATATCAGGATGTCTGTAGAAACAGTAGATAGCAGAGAGAGTTGCAATGTATTGCCAACTTTCCTGATGTCAGTCAGAACTGGACGAACACCTCTGAAAAGCAATCTGTAATGCTGGAAACTTCAGCATTTATAATTCTACCAATAACTAAAGCCTGTGTCACACGTGCGGTACATTGACGGGCGATAAGTATCACATGTAGTAGATTAACGCTATATCTTATGCAGAACGGCCAAAGAGCTTGTGTTGTTTCACATAAGATACAGTGTTATCTGTCTTGTAATGTAACGCTCATGTGCAGGGGCCCAAATGATATCACTCTGATAGCTAAAAAAATATGTTGGGTCAAAACCCCATAACAATCCACCTATGCATAAAAAACTATAATATTTCAGTTGTACTCTGTACCCTAATTTTAATTCACAAAAATGAAATTAGTTATTTATAATGCTACACAATGCATTTTGGTTTTATCTAATGGATTTCTACTAACGAATTTCTTTCTACTGCTAATGCATACTTCAACAACATGTGGATTTGTCTCGGTGTCTTCAACCATGAGAAGCTTCTTTGCTTGAAATAATTTCTGCAAAAGCTTATGGTATTCAACTTTTCTTCAACTTTGTTCTTTATTACATTCTAAGAAAATCAAAAGAAGTTTCTCAAACAACTGACATTTATTACAAAGTTTCCGTTTCTAAAAGTAGTTACTCATACTTTTTCAAACTTGTCTGTAGTCTTTCAAAACAAAAATGTTTAAAGAAAGTGTAAAATCTAATAGCATTTGTATGAAAGCACTTTCAGAATCATCACTGTACAGTTATGTCACTCAATCACTCTGCAGAAAAGATCTCAAAACAACTTTGAATAACTATTTGTAGCAGTCAGCGCATTTAACTTCCCATGGATCTGAAGAATGCATGCTAAACCAGAACACGTTTCTTGAGCTATTAGTCAATCTTGACTATTCATAAACTTAATAATATTAAAAACGTTTCATTTTAATTTAGGTGAAAAATAAGAACGAAGAGAAAAACTTTTCCTCTTCTTTTCATTTCTTTCCTTCCTGTATTAGCGTAATATCGCTAAGCAGGATTTGATATATGGGTAATACCAATTTTCAGCTTTGACAGGATAACAATAACTAATGAAAATATCCAGAGATTTAGGAACAAAATATTTTCTGGTATAAACACTTCACATTAATTGAGTAATGTAAATTACTATCTTATTAAACTTCAGAATTATGACCACGATATAAATCAAACTTCAAGAATAATTGTTTGCTTTTGCATAATAAATATTTAAATTATGATCTCAATATTTTAAGCAACATTAAACAATTCAATCTTCTTATGACTCCAAGTACTACATAAAGTTGTTTAGTCCTTTAAAGATATATTGATGGCACAAATTCCAAAATTGTTTGCAGTATTTGTATACAAATTGTAAACAACGCAATTAGCAATATGAACAGGTACAATATATTTTTAAAAAAAACAAAACATTTACCCGTTTTTAATGAATTATGAAGCTGCATAAATGTACACCCACATGTACTGGGTATATGCAATATTATTGTGTGCAAAATTATATATATATGTGTGTGTTTTACAACTCATCTAGAGTTAAATATGACTATGAAATATTAAATGATAAATATGGAGATCAAAATCAAGAAAAGTTCTTGGAATTGGAAGTATAAATATAGAAATAAATTAAATTAGTCACCAAAGCACAAAGTCTTTTTCGTCCTGAACGAGAGCATTCTAAACAAGTCAGAAAAAGTATAGAATCATTTGCTATATGAGAACTTTAATAACTGTTTAAGATGTGTATTATATTGGTTTGTACAAGAGAGTAGTAACATATTTTTTACGATATCTATGAGTTGCACTCAGAACCATAACACCATCTTTGATAGATAATGCATACAGGTGATTCAACATGACATGATTTGGCTCAGGCAGCAATGTAGGTTCACACTGAAACAAATAATACACTTAAATAAACTGTTCATTCTTATGAAATCGCATTCAGGAAAGAAAACTTACAGATAATGGTGTGTCCTTGTTAAGAATAACTTGCAACAAATGTGGGGGGAGAACAGGAGGACCAACTATTTTCTCCCAAGGCTTATTAGCTGGTATATCTTGTGAGTATTCTCCTGAAATAAATGGTACAATGAAAAGTATGTACTTAGATGTGGTTTGAAAGAAATGCAAATTTTTACACTCCTAACTTAAAGAAGGCCATGAAATGCCAGTGAATTCAACAATTCTCTTTCAACATGGGAATGGATATATAATACTTATAAAACGGATTTTCATTAATACTGCCAAAGCTAATAGAAAAACCCAAATTTCATTGAGACTCAAGGTAGTAGTTTTTCTCTAAAAAATGTTCCCAGTAATTTCAGATATTTCGCATTTTAGGGTCGGATTAATCTGACTTTTACCAGCTACTAGTATTCCCAGGCTTGGGCCGTTTTTATTTATTATCCATGCCTGAGGGTAAGGAAGACCTGTGGCAAGCATGACGTACTCCCATCACAAGACCTAGCTCACTTGGCCTGCTTGAGCTTTTTCTTTCCTCACACAGCTATAGAAACTGGGACCATTTGGATTACAAATATACCGCTTCATTTTTCACCTGACTGGGAAATGAACCTGGGACATCTCACAGAAAGTCAGCACATGTCCATGAGCCACTTGGGGGACTAACAGAGAATAATAATCGTATATATTATACAATTACTATACATTATACAATACTTCTTTCTCTTTAATTTCATTTTAATATTAACTTTCTTCCAAGTTTATCAGTTTTGGAAGTGCATGTAACTTATCAATAAAGTCCCAGAGATCATGTTCAACATAGAAATGCATTACACCAACAGCACAACTTACGTTGTTCATTACTATTTGCACTTGCACTATCCATTGCCAAAGCTTGAAAAACTTCAAAATCAGTTTTCTTCACAGATATAAGGTTGTTTTTGGATCCCATGCCATTATCAATTATTTGCTGCAAAGGTAAAAAAATGGTTAACATTTGAAATAAAAAATGTACAATGCACAAGTACAATGTACTTTGATGTTCAAATATGTTCATGTATGTCCAGATAATAGAAATTCTAAAATAGTAATTAGTATGTTAACAGAACAGAGTTAACAGAGAAACAATCTGGAAGTCTAAACATTGTATTCCATTTTCACTAAAGATGAACATGCATTATAATATCAAATACAATTTATATAGCCCCCAATATACATTTCAATAGAAAAATACAATTAAACTACTAAATAAGAAAAATTTTAAAATACAAATTTGCATCATTTCATGTTGGTTTGGTTTAAAAAAAAGATGATGAGCATTTATCTCCAGAAGCAAAACATTTGATGCAATAATTTTACACATTTCTTTTGGAAAAATAACTGTTGCTATCAAGGACACCGTATGATCTGTGTATCATCAGAAGAACTATGCTTTCAGAGATGAAATAGTTAGGCTTCTGTATCTCCCTGTATATGGTAGTAGAAAGCATTGAAGATAAATATTTGAAATTTTGAAAATTCTTTATTATGAAATGCCATAAGTAACATTTGAATAAACTATTAGCTGTACTCAAAAGTTTCATCTATTGGGGGCTAGATAGAAAATGCTTAAGAAACTCAAGGGCCTTCAAGTAAGTTGAATTTATCACTTGTTTGTTAAATTAAATTTTAATTAAAGATAACAAAACAGTTAACAATTCACAAATTAATTCTTTAAAGACATATGGGCATATGAGCACACAATTCTGGACACATTTGTAATCATTTATAGACCTTGGGGGGGGGGCTACAATTTTAAAATTTCAAAATTTAATAACAGACATTTCTTTTCTAAAACAGAAATGATAAATAATTTCAAAAAAACATACCTAAATTAGGTGAATGAAATTGCTTTTTTAGACAAAATAAGTTAATTTGTGGTTGAACTTTTATTTCACCTAAAATTAAAAGGTTTTGCAAATTTTCAACACTTGTAACATCTGTTCTTAGACTTAACATACTCGTACTACCTTTTTGCAAAAGTTTGTTTACATCTGTTACTTGTACCATATACTAACAAGAAACTTCTGGAAAAGTTTTTAATTTTTGGGTGAAAATCCATAGCAGTTGTTTATAGAATTCAATCACATTTCTTTTTTGGAATTTGTCTTGCATTGCATTATCAACATTGAGGTCAATTATTTCTATTTGTATAGCTACTGGGACTTGCTCAGTATCACATGAAAACAGGCTCTGAAAAACTTTACTATGGAGTTAACATCCAAGACGGTCAATCTATTTTTGAACTGCAATTTCAGTTCTGAAAGAATTTCCAAACACAATGGCTGATACATATACCATAGAATGTGTAACAGTATGAAATACGACTCATATCTTGCAATAAAATGTTATAGCCTGTATATAATGATTAAATTGAATTAGAATATACCTTAGGTCGGAAGGCAAAATACAATAGCCAAGAGCCTGTGTGGCCTGCAGGCCATAGTTTGGAGACCTCAGCTCAAAAGCACAGCACAACTATTTCCTACCTTATGCCCAGCAAACAAAAGGCATTATAAGGCAAGGTAGTTTTTTTATTTCTTGGTAAATACAAATATTTTTGTTTGGCTTACAAACATATTTGATTATAAAACATTATTTCATTACCAGAAAAGAAAAATACTATGAAAAGAATTATGGTCATGATAATTCACATTTTCCCCCCTTAGTTTTAATAAGAAAATAAATATATAAAATTAAAAACCATGATGAATATTTAACCAAGCATTCAGATCAGAATATTTAGATCAGCATGTTATCTCTTAATAATACAATCTAAAAGGTTTGTAGAGAGAGAGAGTAACAGAGAGAGAGAGAAACAGATAGATAGATAGATAGAGAGAGAGACAGACAGACAGAGAGAGAGAGACAGAGAGAGAGAGACAGACAGAGACAGAGAGAGAGAGACAGAGAGAGAGACAGAGAGAGACAGAGAGAGAGACAGAGAGAGAGACAGAGAGAGAGGGAGGAAGGGAGACAGAAAGAGGGAGGGAGAGGCAGGTAGAAAGAAAGAGGGTGAAATGGAGTGAAAAAGAAGCAAAGTGCAGGTAGAGGGAGTGTAAGGCTGGGAGAGGAAAGAAAGAAGGCCATTAAAAAAGAGGCAGGGAAAGAGAAACAAGGAGTGTATTAAGTACAAGAAAACACAAAATGAAAGCCAAATACAATATGGAATTAAACATATCGAATCACTTCTACTATTCCTAAAACTATTGGAAACAAATGAATGATTTCACATGAGGTTATCATGTTTAGATGATAAAAGATTTAAGCAATAATAGTATTCATTTGTCAATATAGAGAGGTAGTGCATTTGGAGTAAATAATTTGATATTGGAGGGTTTATTATGTACCAGCCAGAGAAAAAGATCTGTGGTGAGGAAATTCATAATGAATTAAAATGTACTATTATTATACAGAATAAGTACTATTTAAATCTATTATACCGTATCATGAATATGCTTCATGAGGATTCTTCTTTTTAAGTTTTTCTAATCCTATTATATAAGTTTAATACTTACAACAGAAGGATCATGTCGCCATTCCCCATCTACATAAAATTTATATTGGTGTTCTCCTTCAGGTAAATCAATTATTGTAACAAAATCACCATGGCTGAAGAATAGAAAATTAATATTATATAAAAGCACAACATTATGACTAAAACTAAAGTGAAATCAATTTGTCTTACCTCTTTACCATTGGTAAGGTTTTCCAATTAGAAAATGTCCCACTAATAAAAACATGTTTGCCTCCTCCTTCCCATTTAAACACAGTTGGTAACACTTTATCATTTACTTTTGTACCTTCTGAAACTGTAGCAGATCGTTGACGAGGAGCTCCCAAATCATCCTGTTAAAATAAAAGGCAAACTATCACTGAACACCACTCTAAAAAGGTGAGATCAGCATGAAAAAAAGAAACAAAACTTAAAGAAAATAAAGTTGAAACAAAATGATAAAGTAGGAGTAAACTCTTGTGTGTGTCTGTGAGTCACGCGCATGTGCATGCATTCAACTGGGTATGGCTTCCAACCCGGTAAGTGATGTACAAACATTACTTCACAGTAAAAATCTGAATATCTCTTTGAACAGGAGTGAGGAAACTCGGGCCAGAACTTAGCCAATGAAATTGAACAGATGAAATCGTCATAATACAAGAAGTGAACAAACATAAACTGGAGGGGTAGAAAAATAAATTTTTATTTTCTCCCTACAGAGTAGATACAAAAGTTATGTAATGCAGTGCGAAAAAACAGCAAACTCTTATTACAGGGCTCTAGTAAAGAAAATGAGGATAAATCGAATTGCTAAATTTAGGAAAAAATCCGCTGGGTGTAGCTAGAATCCATGTTTTGTGAGTCCTTGATACAAAAAATTCTAATGACGACAAAACGTCTGTTTTTTCGACCATCTGTGAACAACGTTAGAGGATAAACCGTTCAGCCGATTTCCTCCAAACTTTTCTCAACCGATATGGCTGACGTCGCGGCCCCTAAAAATTTGACACCGATATTATAATTTGAAGGGGGGACTTTACATGGAGCCCCTGGACATTCTTCAAATTTTCAAAAAAATATATCCATCGTTTTTTATTAAAATTTGTTGTTGAATAGTGTGAAGGATGTTTAAGAGAAAGGTGGAGGTCTCATATTCGATGAAAATCCGGATTTTTCCAAAATTGCGAAAGTTCAAAATTTTTTTCGGTATCTTCTTACAATTAAAATATTAAAGATAGAGATTTCTCCTCTTAATGAAATCTGTTCCTTAAATATATATTTTGAAATAAGGTCATGTACAATTTTTCGAAAATTTGAGTACTTTTCGCGTAATTTTGCGTGAAAATTGTGGGGAGAAAATACGTGCTGCACCACTAGTTCGTAGAATTATTTCTGTCATTAAACTGCATTTCTACAATTTTATAGAGTTTCCCCCAATGAAATCCATTCCGAGCGCACAAGGTACATTTTTCAACAAATTATCGTTTTAACTTCAGTTACTTTATCGTAAACAAATAGGGGCCCGGCCGCGAGTAGTCTGGTAAACAGGAGTCTATACTTCGCGACAAAGATAACTTTTACCAAAAACTTTTCCACTCTACGCCGAGATATTGACGTCCTTCATACTGAAATACGGGTTTCTCAAGAAGTCTGTCAGTCAACACTAGCGCGTAATCCGTACACAGAATGTTCCACGAATTGATATTATAACCACTGAGAAAGACGAACTCGAGGGCCAACGAATTTTAAACTGATATTTTATTTGGTAAGGAAGGTGTATTTAACCTAAAGCTCCTAGAATACTTTCAACGTTTTCAACGAAAATCGGACCTTACCATTATTATTCATGTATGTTGCCAAACACAAACGTGGCCATTTTGCCATATATTAAAAGTCAGATAAAATCCGCAAGCTTTTGAGCCACTTACTCATAGAGACGGCCTACAAAAGCCCACGAAAAACTCGGGGGAAAAGTAGTACGCGTTGAAGATCCGGGCCCACTCTTTATAGCAGGGGTGTATGAGATTCCACGCATCTGCGTCCACAGTTACATCGGCGAGTTGTGGCTACTGAGGAATTTTCCCCGGAAAACATTCACCATTTCAAGCATAGTATAAATAAATCGTCCGTAGCCTTTCAAGCATGGAAAGGCTGCGCCTTTCTTTTTGACAACGCTCACCAGGGAATGCCGCTGGGGACCAAAGGAGAGTAAAAGAGGCGGTGAAAATCATAAAAAAATCTCCTAAACTCCAATGTTGACCAAGGTCCACGTCTTCGTGAGGCCTGGAAACCTCTATTTTACCGCGACGCTCCAGATCGCGTTTACCCTTCTCCTGGAGGTCCGACCACGGGCAGTCTTCTCCCACCCCGCCCAGGGGGGTCATTTCCTGATTAGCCGATCCTTTCTCTGCCTTGGCCGAACGCAGTCCACTTCCGTGCACTTCGCCGAGAGGAATCCACGGTGGCGTGCTTACGGATATCCGCTTGTACGTCAGAAGTAAACATTTGGGGGGTGGGGGCACTTGGGCCGCAGAGCTCACCCCCTTCAGAGGCACCGTCGGGATGAAAGGTGGATATGCCGGCACGCAACACCCCATAGGAGTGTCTCTCCACTTCAGCCTGGGTAGGGCCACTCTGCCAGCTCAGATCTCTAGATTTCCAGACTATCACCAGAGTCTGATTAAGCGCTACTCACACGCGCCAGGTGAAAGCACTTCCCAATTACCTACGAGTATCGGGCACCGACAGGACGAAGCCGAGGGCCACCCGAACTAAGGTTTGAGCGGCTTGGAGCCCCCATCCCGTCTCTAGTGGTTCATACACAGTATCATAATACCATGCATGATCCACTACAATTTTGTGAATTCTCAAGACTTTATTGATATTGTGACGTAGTGAAATAAGAAATAAATTTCAATAAAATAAAAATAGTATATTAAAATATTATGTACAAGTTACAATAAATTGCTAATATTAAAACACCCCGGCAACCTTTTCTTTTCAGTACACTGCTTTACCGCAGAAAAATACAAGCCACGCGTGATGCGAGCTGTCGGACATCCGTCCCGTGACAATTACCGTCACATGTCCTGACGCCAAATTTTAACCCGGTCGTAGCAACCGTGTGCCTACAGCACGCGAGATCGTCTGGCCCTTACTCTCCGGACATCTCGCCCACACTCCTACACTCCTTGTACGTACACGTACAAGCTTCCCGATGCCAACTGAATGAGAGCGCGGGCGCAGATGGCGCCGCGTTAAATAGTTGAGGCTGACACCCCCCCCCCACGCCACTGTTCCATAGATAGGCTCGCTGGCCAGCAGCTTGGTTTACGCCCACACACAGGATTCTCAGGTTGGCTCGCCTGCTTACCGTAAGCGAGGCTCGCTGGCTAGCATCCTCGGAGTTTACAGCCTACGGTATTTTTGGCTCTGCGGCTCTACCTGAGTCAACCGCCAGAGCGCAAACTCCCGGAAGTTCAGGCTCAACCCCTTCCTCCCCCGCAGCGTACTTTCACCGACCTAACGGTTCTGGCCCTCGTGTTAACGACGCCACAGTATAAAAGTTAAGCCAAAATCTTATGTAGTTCACCAAATCAAAGAAATGTTTACTTTTGCCGTCTGAGTTACCAAATTCTATGTACAAAGTATCGTAACGAGTGACCCCAAATGTTAATTAAAACTTGGCAACCAAAGATATTGAAAATATTACAGGTGATAAAAAATGTTATCATTTTTATTTTTTAATCGGAATCTGAACTGATAGTAATTTGTGACTTAAAATATTGCAATTTGTACGCAAAAAGCCATTATTGAACAAGTAATATTTTAAACGCGTGTCTTAGTTATTGAAATTGTACCAAAGTCGAATTAAGGAAATTTCGAAAATATATTTTTAATGATAGTGTAATATTTATTAAATATTTTTAAGTAGCAACATTTATTATAATTCACACACTGAAACATAAATCCGTTAAATTACCTACACAACATTTTCGTTAAGTTACACTTTATGATTTCTCCATCACTGAAAAACCTTTTTGGGACGGTTTATAAACATTCGAGATTTTCCCCAAATATCATTGAAGTTTAATGTAGCAATTATTATTAATACAATTTTCTAAGAAGCAGACAGTTCATAAAAAATACTCTGAGGGAGTCTCTATTGGAATATCATCAGGGCCCGGAATTCGTAAAGTTGACACTTTTCATTTCCGATGATTGGTGGTTTCGAATCTTTCATTCATTATCAAGTAGCACCTTCGCATCATTTCTAAGGTTATGATAATATTTACTTCAATCAGTTTTCGAAATACGAAGGTAGTGACTTCATATGTCTCATGGAAAAATGCTGCTGCTGAAAGAAACTCTTACGCGCACCAGCTTGCCACCCAACGCTTTCCCGCCAAACCTTGTGACGTCATTACGTCTTGTGACGTCTCTACGCAGAAGGAAGCCTCAAACCAAGAATGATATCGACATATTAAAACATACTGACAAAACGAAGTTTGTGCACGCCATAGCGGACAGCACCATCGATCTTCTGCGCACGCGAAGATGCACTAAAGTAGTGCGAAACATGAACTGCGCATGCGCGGAAGATCTATAGTGCTTTAACGTTCGAGATGGCACAAACTCCCCACTTATACCGTATTGTAACCGATAGTTAGCAGCATCCAGCGTCTGCCACTTGTCACCCACTAGCGACGGCGCCGCTCTCAGACGCTCTGAAAGTCACGTGTTCTAGACATTCTGAACGAGTTGTCAAAACATCCCCGATTTTTGCTGCACCATTACAATACTTTCTCTTTACTACCTACGCAATAAGGCAGGAAAGTAAAGAGGAGGGAAGGAGTAAAGAGGAGGGAAGGAGAAAAACGGAGATAGAAAAAAGGGAATTGAAGAAAGGAGAGAAAATATTCAAGCGAAGAGAAGTGAAGATAAGAAAAGGTGGGGACAGACGGAAAAGAAGAAAAAGAGGAAAGCTTAGGAAAAAACACAAAGGAAGAAAATTTAGGAAATTACGAAAACGGAGAAAGATAATTCAAATATTGAGGAGGAGATGGAGCAGAAATCACTTAGTGAAATGGTCTTCATAAAGAACCAATAAAATAATATAAGATTTCTTAGTAAAATAACACCTTAATAATGATTGATAATTTACGAGATGATTATTAGAAAATGAAATTTTTGAAATGGTGACTTTTTCACCGATTGGTTTGTATGTTCCGAATTCTTACACACTATTAGCTGAAGTAGTTAGGAGTAGATTAGTTAAATTAATGCCTCTTTGCAACTTATGAATTTATTGATAATTCACACCCAATTCATGCTATTATCTATTATAATTACTATTTCACGATGTGTAAACTTCTAGATAAATAACATTTATGTTTATGGTCCTGTGTCCACATACCAACAAAAACATTTCATCATTAAATACAAAACATATACAACAATTAAACAAAAAAGCCACAGTTGGTGTCATCCCACATACCCCTAAATTAAATATAAAATTATCTATTACTGAATAGTTTAGACAATAAAAATATAAGTATATATGCAAATGACATTTATTAACAATACACTAAAAAACTATGTAATTCAGAATAATTGAAATATATTTTTTAAATACACAATTATATAATTCCATATATAAAATGTTTAAATTGACTTCACCCTTAAAATAGTGACTCCTGGGGCGGTCCGCCCTCCTGCCCCCCTATAAATACGCCACTGGCCCAGGTTGGTAGCTTTCTACTATTTACCCATAAGACTTCCAAACATATTTTAATAAACAATTAATTTTTACTCATCTTTCACAGAATCTTAATGATTCACTTATAACCATTTTATTACTTTAACATGCTTGTGTCCATATTGAAAGATTATGAACACAAATCAGAAAAAACGCACAAGAAAGTTAAGCTTTGTAATTGTTCTATTGCGTAATCTTCAGTATTATTTTGAATGTGATGGTTTATTATTTTAATAAATTTTAAACAAGCTTACAAAACTTATTCTGTCATTCGCATCTGCATCAGAAAATCACAAATAATGGACATTGGCAACTTTTGCATACCAGCTCCAGCAACATATTTTTGGTAAGACTGTAAACTATAAACTTAAATTTTCAATTCAAGATTTTAACATTCAGGAAACAAACCCAAATGCTATAGCCTTTGGTTATAACTTAACTCAGGATCTTGTATACTTCATCTCAACTTCAAAGTTTAATTGCAAGAAAAATATATATGCATCCATCACAGCCAAAATAACATTGATGTAACCAGATAGATCATCTGTCCTTAACCACACAATCTATATTTTCATAACTAGTTTAAAATGTAGCTCGAATTAATCAATTCAGGAAGTTCAAGGCTATGAAAATCATCAAAATATTGAACAGCAATGGAACTGACATTGTGCCCATTAAAAACAGGAGAGATAATTAATGCCTTCTGTAAATACATAATACAAAACCACACAATTCAGAAACCTCATTTGGCTTTCAGAATTATTCTTTCACAAACCAAATTCCAGATAAAATGCAAATTATCAGTAATCTAATTTACATTCGTCAGTATTCACTTACGACAACTTTGAAAGCATAACTGCAATAAAATTACATGCTTAATTATGCCAAGATCAAAGTTATGAAAACATTGCATGCATTGATACGAGCAGAATTGACATGACACTGCTTAGAGCACAAGCTAATACTCAAATAGCCCCAAAAATTAATTTAATCATTACAGCAAAACACTGGATGCAAGGTAGGGTATTTCATGTTATGTTTTACAAAAGAAGTCCTGCTAACCTGAACAGAGTCCTTGGAAAAATAAGGTTCTTCCTCTTCGTTTGACGACTGGAACACTAACTTCGGGCTTGGCTTTTTATCAAATACAAATGCTTGACTGTCTTTACCAGGAGAAGACGGAGGCATATTTTCTCCCGGCTTGTGACGTTCTCTTGTATTACTTCCTGCGTTGCCCATTATACAATATAGTTTTATACGAAAGATTCGAAGATACACGTAAATAAATACTTATTCAAAACTTAAATAGGCACATTTGTCTGCACAATCAGCATATTACACTGACGCATCACAGTAGATTCTAACAACAGATTATCAAAATAAGCCAACAACAATACAAAAATCCATCACGCATCTGACAGTAGTACGTAAAGCTAGCTATGGAATGCTGAATACATTCCGTGACCTGCGAACATTGCGAACAGATGAAAGGTGAAACGCGACATCACGGAATGCAAAACGGATCGCTTCGCAGGTTTGTAAAAGAACGCGCATTCACTCACAACCACAGATCTCCATATAAAAAATAGTGGAGACGCAACTTCGTTATTTCTTATTAAGTAGCTATAGCGTATATGACTTATTTAATTTTGAAAATTGTGTTTTCATGATATGCTCTAGGATATTTATTAAAATACCATTTAGTAACATATTCACAACTTACAATATCGCCACATTTCTTGCATTAATGTCAATATTAACCAATTATTAACTTTCAAATACTCCTCTAATCGTATAAATAGATTTTTTTCTATTCTTCTTTGCGTTAAGTTCAAAAAAAAAAAAAAAGAAAAGCACTACGCTGATTATTCGCAGAAAACTTTTCTGACAACTAATAATTTTGCGGTAAACTCAAATTTTACAAACTGTAGATGTTGATTACTCGAATACTTACTCAAGATTATTTCTTATAAAGTGAATACGCAATGCTTTCAGGTACCATTTAGTCATTTTTTTCAGTTCGGCTCAGTGGTTTGATTTCTCTAGGACAAATTTCCCAAGAATCATATAATATTAATACAGAGTACTCTTCGACGTCATTTTAGGGCCTACATGCTTTACAAAACAAAATTAAAAACATAAAGCAAATATTAGTTGTTGTTTTTTTTGTCTGTGTTATTACTTATGGTTTATGGAGGCCTTCAAATGAAGCAAACATCTTTTGTGATTTTCCTGTAATAGCTTTGTTCTCGATGAAATACCGATGGGCTACTGGTAATGTCTTTCAGAGTAAACTAGTGGCGCTCAGCAGCACATACTTTCTCTCACTTTTTCTAACTTTTGCAATTTTCGAAAATACAGAAAGTTAAAAGAAAATGAGACCACAACGTTTTTACTTTCCACCTTACCATGAAATAATATTGTTCCATGACTTTACTTCGTAAGAAGAGAAGGTATTGTAATTGTGCGTCGGAAATGGGTAAATTTTTGATAGAAAAAACTCGTATTGTTGGGCCAAAGTAATGAAACAAAGGATAAATCTTCTTCCTATTATAGTTAAAAAAATTCCTCTAACATGTGTAGTCAGAATCCTTGTTTTGTAGATCCTTGATAGCGAAAAATCGATTGACGGCAAAAGTCTGCCTGCCCGTTCGCCTGCCAGATCTTAAAATGAGGTCAGGCTAAAAAGTTTATAAATGTGATTTTTAATCAACTATTTTTTCAGAAACGGATATGAATTTTTTCATGGGATAGTGCGTTAGAGCGCTTAAAAATGGCACGTTTCAATTTCGGCGAACTCTGTATTTTCGAAAATAGAAAAAATTAATATTACAAAACTATAATATTGATGATGGTTTTTTCCTTAATGAAACCGGAAAAATCGTCGAAACTTGTGAATCCTGTAAATATATCGGACAATTATAGTGATAAATAAACGTGCACAGCTGATCCTGGTAGGGTATACTCACACTAATGTATCTCCTGATAATAACAAAACGGATCGTTTTAGTTCGTTTTCTGGCCTCCTTTCATCTTATATCTACCTGGCGTCTGCTGTCTTCACGAGACAAAAATAAAATTTGACAATAGGAGTTTTCATGGCCTATTGTGATATCTTTTAGAAAATTATTCTTCGGTACTTGATGCAATTGAAAGAAAACACGGTATTAATTACTATATTACCATGCATTCTTTTCTGCTATACTTACATCATACAGTAATAGCTTTTTCTGAAGGTCACGTCACAAGTGCGTGCCAACGGTCATAAATATGTCATATTGTAAGATGTGAAGGGATAATTTTATTATTTCTCTGTGAAAGTATATCGATGGTAATTTTATACTGCTGATTGGCACGTGCCTGGCAGTAACCAGAGGCGCATTAACAACTTTGTTGCCTTTGGGAACGCAAAAAATTACCGCCTATTGTTTCAAATAACTCAGGAAAAAGGTTATATTTAATAAGTATAATTTATGTTTATAACTTGGACGCACATATTTATGTATAAAATTAAATATGATTTAATTCATGATTTAAGCATGTCATTTTTTTCTACGCGAAATCAATTCATGTTTAAATCAAATATTTTGATGTATAGAAATATAATTTCATCGTTTTTTGAGTTATGCATATTTATTATTCTACCGATTTTTTCCTTTAATCCTCAAAATTACGTAGACATCTACATTTAAGGATGTCATATTTCGTTCATATTTTCTAGTGCCAAATGTAAGCAATTCTGTAATTTTAAGAATTAAAGGTTTTGTGACGGACTTCCTCAAAAGCAAAATTTTCAATAATTTCGTTCACATTAATATTTTGTTAAGTTTGATCATCGATACAACTAAAACACTAAAATGGTTTTTAGTCATTATCGAACGCAAATAATTTTTAATGCGTTTTAAGCAGGAAAATCAACGTTCCACGATACAATTTGAAACCGGAGTACATTCTCTACGCAATATCGATATTTAGGTAAACATAATGCAGTTTTTCTTCTCTGAGTCATTGTAACAAAATAGGGGTCTTTGCTTTGTATGTTGGACAAAGAGTAGCCAAATGAGACTTCAAATGAATATGTGTCAAACGTGTCCTCAAGATCAAGACAGGCCGATCACATATTTTCTTCTGTTTTTTTTTCTAAATCGAATAAAAACATCATTTTCATTTTGGACGATGTCTTTAAAATGTTTATTGATAACTTCACACGCTTTTCGCTTGTGATCAATTCTACCATCAGTTTGTCAATAAGCCAGGTTGTTGATTTGAAAGTGATATCTACCAGTCATTTCCACTTCGTTCTCTGTAGTCTTGGTGTGGAGTATTTTCCTTTTTCTCCTTCTTAATTCATTGTTTTTGTAAGAATCAGTTGATGCCAGTTGTAATTTGTTCGTAGTAAAGGCGATAAAGTAAAAAAGTCAAGCTTTAAAATCAATCTTCATTAAACTTAATTAAAATAATTCTTGCGCAAACATTACTCGTGCAGGGTCACATTGAAAATTGAAGACTTCATAGTCTTCTTTACTCATAACATTACATCTAGTGTTACTAGATGCTTAATTCATATTCTCGCTAGACGTCGCTTTATTTCCGGCTAAAAAAATTGAGTAGTGTATTTTCTGCTAACATAAGCTAAGAATATTTAATTTTTCACTAAATAGTATGTATTATTTTTATTGTATACAGTAAATAGTATGTATACATGTAAATAGTATGTATTATTTGTTCTATAGAATAGTTTTCAATAAAAACTTTATTTAGCGAATAGACATTATGCATAAACAAGTACATTCAAGTTACAATCAAATCATATTAAATTACACTGAAATAAACGCACTCAACTCTGATATTCTCGTTTATTTTCTAAATTTCGATTCAATATTTGGTAGATTAACAATAAACTCGATAATAAAGTTTTACAAAATTATGTTCATAAATTGAAATCACGCTGTATTCCGACACGAAAAGTGAAATTTCCGCTAAATTTTCCACTAACCGCTAAAACTATTTTCCCCCGCTAACTGCATTGAAAAGCCGCTATATCTCGCAGGAATTCCGCTGATCTGGCGACACACTACAACAGAGAATTTCGGTAAAGGTAATTGGAATTGGTGTAACATGAAGACTCCTTTTCATAACTGTAATTAAATCTTAATTGAATGACTTCTGAAATATAAACAGCGCTCATTTTGACTTATACCAAGTCATATAACAGAAGGCATTACCTTGTTAATAAATTAATTTGCGAGTATTTAATATTTTTGTTTAAAAAATCATAAAATACAAATTGAAAATAGAAAATCGCACGCAACGAAAAAGAAGCTCCTTAAAACCAATTTTAGTCCACAATTTTTGCCGCCCTAAAAATTTTGCCACCGTAGGAACGTGACTCCTGTGCCTATGCGTAAATCTGCCCCTGGGGATGACGCTCTGGCAAGAACTGCAGCAGAACAGAAAGAAGAAATTTCTATTGTATTTAATTTCACAGAATCCTCTCACGGTCCCACCTTGAAACTTACCAAACTTACGTAGAACACTTCAAAGAGAATACGACTGTATTTTTTTTATATTTAAATTGGTTAAGGAAGACATTTAAAATATAAATACAGAATAAGTCAAAAATGCATTTTAAAAAAAATAATAAATTCAAATTCACGTAGTACATCTAATGAAAGAACATCTTTTGTTCTTTAATACCCAAAACGTTAAATGTGTCACTTCTATAACGTGAGTTACAAAAGATTAACTGAAGAGATGTGAGAAACACCTTAGAAATAAAACAAGAGAGATTCAAATAAAGTTCTTGATAGATCTTTATTTTTGTCTCTCTTCCTGTTTTATTTTTGATGTGTTTCTCACATCCCTTAGCAGTCCCCACCTTCCTCTATGGTTCTGAGTCTTGGGATTATTGAAAAAAGGACTGGTTAAGAGTACAAGCCTCAGAAATTGCCTTTCTGAGGTCGGTAAAAGGATGTTGAATCGACAAGATAAAGAGCAACGACATAAGGAAAGAACTAAATACGTACGAGAATCTTCTCCTTAACATCCTGGATAGAAGACAATAGAGACAAATGGCATTAAAATGTTGAAAGAATGGCAAATCCTAGATTGCCAAAACTAGCATTAAGTAGAAGTTAAAGATTGCCAATACCAGTATTAAGTTAAAAAGAAGATGTGGGCATTCTCTTCAAACATTTTGAAAATAAAAATGTCTCGAAAGAAATCTTTGGTATAACTAATGGTTCTAAAACAGCACATACTTTCTCTCCCTTAGTAATGTTTCATAATACTATTTATATCGGAATTTCTCTCCGAATTCACACATCTTAGTGCAAAACGACGGATTAGTGTATTATATTTTTCATTCTATGATACAGATGTAAACAGATAGCATTTAAATAAAAACTCAAGATATCGATTTACAAATTAAACTTTTGCTTACATACAAACATTACTGTCTACGACTGAAGAA